CAAAGTGTTGACCAACATGTCAATTAAATAGTTAATTTGTCACTGATATAGCGTCATATAAAGTCTGAGCTTCCGTTCTTTTCTATTGCATCACGTGACAATGAATATTTGGCTCGGGATGGAAAATTCCCTTCAGGGAATAACCAATAACTGGGCATCTGATAAGGTTTATCTCATTTATCTCAACAGGTGGGCGTATGGTATTCTACTTTGGGAGATTTTAACAATTGGTGCGTAGCATCTCTTTCTTTCGAATCGCCTTTTTAGAATCTATGTACTTTTGACATACATACAGACATACATACATACATTGAATTCCTTGTTAAGTTGGCCTAAAATCATGAGTTTCAGAATTCACAAGTTGTTTAGGTTTCTTTGCACTTGCGCATGCAAAACTATACTACTTAGAAAATAGCCCAAAGAAAATACGCGCGCTGATTGGTTTAAAATCGTGTTTCTATTTAACAATAAGATTATGAGATCGAGATTTCTAGCACGTGATAGAAATCGAGAGCAAGTAATCTACTTGTTTTAGTATAAATCTACTAGTCATTCAAAACTTTATCTAAATCCTCCTCACAAACACTTCCAAAACGCAAATAAGTGGCCGTCATTTTGTTAACCAGCGCAAACTGCTACGCTACTCACTATCTACAACAGAATAGATTCTGAGTAGCGTAGCCAATCAGAGAACAGCATTCGTCATAGAACGCTAGTGGATTTATACTCAAACTTGATGGAAACACAAAGAGTATGCTTTTTTATTTCTTTTAAAAAATTCCTCGACGTAAAAAGAAACACAATTTGTTTACTTTGTAGTTGGCTCGGGCGGCCCCCGCAACTATCACGCGATAGAAATCTCGATCTCATAATGTAATTGTTTAATAGAACACTCGTGGAAGTTTGGGAGAACTCAAAAATCTGTGGAAACACTCGCCAATTAGCTTGTGTTCCCAAAGCTTTTCTTGTTCTCCCAAACTTCCACGAGTATTTCTATAACTCGATAGAAAAGCCGTACATGTTTTCTATTTCTTAAATAAACACAACTGCTTGGATCAGTTCATCACTTCATGTTCCACCTGGCTGTAGTTTAGAGAGGCTATGAATGATCTCACTTCTGCATCACTTGTCGGGCATATTACTCACCCCTCCTCCAAGACCCGCTATACATGTATCGCTATGGATGTAGAACTACTTTAAAATAACATATTGCTGCAATTCAAAATAGATCAAAATCAAAATCAAAACCAGTTAATAGATAAAGTCCAGAATCTGGGAAATGAAAGAAGGTAAATA